ATAAACCTGCTTTTTCGCGTGTTATTATTTTTTAAGACCTTCAGACAAGCTCAGATTTCCAAGGAGTGTTCGGTGGCCATCAGAGATCCAAAGCCTATCAAAGCCACTGGTCAGGCCAGTGAAATAAAGACCTTGGGTTTTGATTTTGTTGGCATCTTGCTTCGTAGAGGAAGAGAAACAACTCATTTAAAAATTGCTTTCTGAGTTCAGCTGTCAGAGAAGCTTTCTGTTGACCTTTACAAATTGATACCATCACAATCAATGGACAGAAGTTTAAGGGCAGTCTCTGGGGTGTGGAGGCAGGAATAAACCCAAACATTTATAAAATATATATAGAGTGCATTTTAAAAAACTCAACAGAATATACTAACAGGGAGCATATCTGAGCAAGCCGATCTGTAAAGATTTCATAATACATGATTTTGACAAGTGCGATTACTTAGAATTTACCTTTTGGGACGATTTCTGGAAGTACATGAAACAAAAAATAACAAATAAATGTGTCTTAGGTTAGTGCAACTCAGTGATAGGTTGGACAAGGAAAACAATTAGTGATTTTGAAGTTGCTTTGCCAGACTTGGCGGTAGAGGAAATGCATTTGAGGAGCAATTTCACAGCAACTTTGACTCCCCCTCCTTGCAGCCTTGGGAAGTGAAACAGTTCCCAAAAGCTCCGTTAGGAATTGCACGAGGAGGGGCAAGTCAGTCTGTGATTTCGGCCTCTGGCTCGTTCATTTTTAAATGAGGCAAACTGAGAAGCACATCTGACTGGGACGGGCAGTCTTCTGGGACGAGCAGTCCTCTCCTCCCAGGTACAAAAGAGAGAAGCCTCAGCACTGCAGGCATTTGCGCTGGATATCCTGCTCACATGCAGTGGGTTATCTGTTCAGGTGCAAGTCCTGCCTCTGCCCCTCTTGTGCCGATTTAATAGCAGCTTATGACAGCAGTCTCAGGTTAAAAAGTAATCCCTTTGCTTTCTTAACGATGAGAGAAACATCTGAGTGATAGAGGTAGGTTTTTTATATGGCATGACCATACCCCAAAATCACCACAGCGCTGCTGTTCACCAGAACTGAAGCCCTCAGTAGTCTTGGAAGAATTTGGTACTCCGAGTCCTATTCAGCTTTTTATTTTTATAACGTTTAATTTAAATTGTGCAATCTGGGTCTAGGCTCAAACATGTGGGTTTGAAGAGGTGAGACTTTGCCCTTCGCTTACACCTCCACTCGGTTTAATAGCATATGAGTTTTATTATTTAGTTTAGCTGTGGGGAATTACGAAAATACAGCCATTGGTTTAAGGAAGGCTTGTGTAAGAGAACATTTTAACATCGTAAAAGAATTAATCTAACACATACAACCACCTCAGACCCCAGGACATGATCCCTGTTCTCAGGTCTAGCGTGTTTTGGCTTCAAACAAAGTGCTGTGTCCAGCCTTGGCACAGCCCCTGCCTCTCCCTGCAACTTCATTGCCAGTCCTCTCATCTGCAGTACTTCCAAGTTTAAATAATTACCATTTCAGCTGTCTTACATGGGCTGAATTCTCCTGTCTGCTTGACAAGGTTATCGCGTTGCTTGAGAGCCTGTTATTTTCATCAGTGAAAAATAAAACTGCGTGCGCCTTCAATTTAATAGACCTATGCATAGCGGCTAAATGAGGTAGTTTCTTCAGTCACGTTCTCCTGTATTGCACAGTCACCTTGAATCACTTGGCCAAAGCAGCTCTGAAATTTTGGATGTGCTCTTTCCGGATTGATGGGGACACCTGAGCCCCGGCATGGCTGTCTTGGGTGCTGCTTGTGAGATGTTACTGGTTTTCTTTATTTCCCAAATGCTTTTCCAGGGTCTTATTGTTGAAGCCCCTCTGCAGTTTTGTCTTGCAGCGTTGCCAGAATTTGGGGAGGTTCTCTCTGAAGCAGTCCAATTCCTTGTGTTTAAATTTCGTAGCTATTTTAATCATTTTGTTAGGTGGTGTTTGGGTTGTGTGATAATTACTAACATAATGCGAGAAAAATTTCTATGGGAGATCTTGGGGAAATACCTTTTTCTTTAGTCACAGGTGCCTCGTGCTTACCCTGCAACGCTGCGGCGGTTGCTGTGTGCTTCAGTGCTGACTAATTACCTGCAGTTCCATTCACAGATATAAAAGCACCCGTCCCACCTCCCCTATCTGAGCTGTATCTTTTACATAAACGGTGCTTAAATACTAGCAAGTAGGATCTAAGGGCTCGTGTGCGTCTTCCAGGTGTTTTTTAAATATCTTAGAGGCGGTGAGGACCGCTATCCCGTTCCCATTGCAGTGGCTGCCAGCTCTCCCGCTGGATTTCTCGGGCTGTGAATCAGGCAGAAGCCGAATGAATGCGCTCCCTTGTGCACGCGCAAACTCGGTGTGTTTGTACAATGTTAATTAAAATGCATTTAAGTTGAGTGAATGCTTGCGGTATTCAGGGGCCCTCTGGGGGGAAAAAAAAAAGGGCAGTCAGACAAAGGCCTACTCTAGCCGTCGCGGAGCTGGGGGAGTGGCAGGAGCTGCTGGAGAAGGCGGCCACCGCCGCAGCGCCCCAGCAATGGTCTGTGCAAGCTGAGTCCCCTTGGACCCCCAGCAGAGCACTGTGGCGGGGAAGGAGCCCTTTGTGTCCCCAGCAAAGCAGCCTGGTTTGTGAGCTGGGAAACAATTTTGGGCCAGCCTTGTAGCAGATGTTGTTGGCATCCCTTTCTAAATGGATTTGTGTTGAACGTACAAAAACCCAGTTCAAGATCCTCGTTCCCCTCTGCTCCCTCATCCCACATCTGTAAGGGTTCATCTGGTGCTTGTGGTGTATGCACTGTCACCTTCCCCGCTCTCCTTCCCCTAGCATTGAGAAAACAACCCAAAACCTTGGGAAGGGTGAGGGCTGGAAAATGGGGAGAGCAATATTTGCAAGTTCTTAGGCCTTCAGGTTGGCACTTTATTGCCCGAGAACACGTGGCCTTGTATTACTCATGATTGTTTATCTGCAGACTTACTAATCATAGAAGACATTAGTGATGGTCTGTACTTTGCTACTGTGGGGAAGGATTTTGGTTCTTGCCATTTGAAGTTAAATTGACAAGCTTAATTTTGGGTCCCGCATTCTAGTGGCTGAACCGGAGACTGGTGTAGGAGTAGGAGATCTCTAGTGGTCTTCACGAAGAACAGGGAGAGCTATTCCTGCGCACGATGGCTCGGAGCAACAGTAACGTTTGCGTGGGCTAACCTGCCCTCTGGAGTGGTATTGCATTTCCTTGGGGAAATGGTCAGCTGGACAAAGGGTGCTGTGATATTATGGTTCAGACTGGTAGACCCAGTAAAGAGCCCAAACTAGAAACCTGGTAAAAGGGAGTGGTCCAGTCAGTGCTCAGGAGTTGGAGGGCAGAGGAGACTGGTGCTGTATTTCAGAGCTATTTGAAAATCTTTTCACTGTCTCTGAATGAGGCCTTACCTGAACTAAGCTGGGTGTTGGAACAAGAGACCACTTAAATCTTTCTTAGATAATGTCTAAAAATTGCTTGTTTAGGTTACGTGCTTCATTGGAAACTAAATTGTAAATACTGAACGCATTTCAATAAAGTTATTTTTTGCATTCTGCATCCAGTAAGAAAATCTCACACTCCTCCTAAGCTACCATGCTGTATAAACGGCTGTAAAAGAAATCTTTAAATGTGTTGTGTCACAACTTGCTTGCCGGTAATTTGCTAATTTGACCAGTGGAGCCAGCAAACACCTCCTCAGAGCTGGCCCGATGGAGGTGGTGATGAGCAGCGTGGGGCCACGTGCCACCTCTGTCCCTCGGGTTCCCCGCCAGCTTGGAGGCTTATCTGCTGCCTCCTTGTCGGAGCGAGCGCTTCCAGATTCACAGCAAGACCTCAAGGAGAGCCAGATGATAGAGCAGATGGCAGATGACTAATTTGGCAAAGTTAGATGAGTGGAAATTGTTTGCTTTAATTGCTTGTCAAGTCCAGTACCTACATTATAGTTAAGAAGCAACTATTTACCCTCAAAATAGAATGAACTGGGTAAAGAAAGAGTGTTTATGTGTGTGTGAAGGGAGAAAAAAGGAAGAAGTACCCAGAGAAAATAATTTGGTACAAAGGCCTGGGGGGTAAGAACCATTGGTAAAGCTTCTTGTATTAATTTCTGCTTTTTTGGGGGGGTAGCTGTATGATACAGGTCCCCCAGTACATTTTCCCCATTTTGTCCTTTCCAGTTGCTGTATCATAATATATATGTGATGAAATTAAAAGAGAAGCAGTGGTGGAAATCTTGGCATAAAGCAGGCAGATGACAATGGCTTGATGTGGTGGGCACAGGCAATTATCCTTGCAGTATTGCGGTAAAAATCTAGTCAACATTTTGATGCTGTTTTTTGGTTGGTAGGAACAGGAGTGCTGCACTGGTAAAATACGCTGTGTAGCATCCACCAGGCAGATTTTGGAGAGCTCAGCGCAAGAAGGTCCCATCAGTTTGAGCAAGTGTTTTCACACATAACTAATCCTTCCTGATGAAATTATAATCGGTGTCAGTCCTTAGTGTGCCTATTTGTTTTCCTGCTCGTAAAATTGGGAAAAGAACTTGCCTTTATAGGTGGCATCTGATCAGCCTTTGCCGAAGGTGGGACCGCCATGGTAACGTACATCCCTGCAACTTTTCTGAAAGTGCTAGAAAGCTTTTACAACAGCATATGAAACCGCATTTGGGAGTTTAGTGGGCAGAGTAATGCTTTTGGTCCCTGGTGCTGTCAACCCAGGGACCTCCTCTCCATGCAAAAAGAAGAAATGCTTTAGAGGTGTTTCAGTGTCCTTTTAACATTGGAGATTGAAGTCTGGATGAAAATTATAATTTTTATTTTTTTTATTGCTTCACCTTATTTAGCAGTTGTGGACATCTTAAGCTGGAAATCAAAATAAATAATAGTGCTTCCAGACTTCTGTTTCTGGGCTGTTTGCACCTTCGCGAGCGATTAGAAGGGATTAAAGCCGTGATGGTGTGGCTCCCTACGTGTACGACGACACCTCATCCCAAAGACTCCCGACAGACTGAACAGCAGCTGGATGGTGGTGCTGAACTTGAGCTTCTCCTCCCGCGGCTGTCCAGGAGTTCATGGCAGTCGGGTTGATTGCATGCAACTGGATTCAAATGGGATGGTAATTTTCTAGCGTGGAGCAGACCTCACGGAAGGAAAACGCTTGTGCCAGCTGAGCTTTTAATTAGGAGTACAGAGAAAATTATGCTCTCCTTCATTACAGTCCCTCACCTAGGGAAGGCAAGCTTCTAATTTTAAGGTGCTCACCCAAGCTACTGGCTGCACAGGAGAACGACTGGTGACCTCCAGGAGTGTTTTGCTTTCTCCCAGGAGACATCTGCAAGACTGTAAGTGCAGGCAGTCCTTCCCTTCATTAGGACGTGCCTAATTGCAAGAAAATTCAGAGCTTTTGCAGGTCATTCAAGGAGAGCTGTAAAATAATAATGCAAGGATTAAAGTGTGTTTACCCCTCCTTCCGTGTGCATACATGACAGGGTGCCCAGGCTGTTCCTGAGAGTGTGGAGTGTAATGAAACGAATGGGGACTGCTGCGGTATTGCTGGTAATTAGTTGTTCCTTAAGGGGCTCGAGTGTTTTCCCCCCATCTGGGGGTCTTAACAAATTGCCAGGAGTGTTTGCAGTTATTAATAAATAATTACGTTAGCTGCCTTTCAAGAAACCCTGATGATGGTGCTGTCTGTAAAAACACAGCTAATTAAGTAAGTAAGTGGGAAATACGGGAAACAAACATGTTAGGAAGAGATGCTGACTGTTGTTGGGCTCGTACTTTATGGAGTAAAGGAACGTGTGATTCTTTTTTCATAAACACGCTCCTGAAACCAGAAAGTCTGAGGGTTTAAGCCTCCGCTTGTGCTTTTGACCCCCTTGACAAACCAATTTTTTTGTGCTGCTTTTGGTCAGGGGCTGATGTGGGGCAAATGTGCTGTTCTCCCGTGACCTCGCCAAAGATGAGTGTTCTGTGATTCAAAAGAATATATCCAGGTGCTCGAGATCACTTCCTTGGAGTGGGCAATGAGGATAGCTCATCGCTGCTTCTCTGAATGTGCTTTGGAAGAGGACTGGGACACTGGTATTTCAGGTACAGGTGACCATGCTGGAGATGATGGGATTAGCTCTTCCTGAGTAACTCTACATGTAGGCAGATCCGCAGAAGGGTCAAATAGGAAGTAAAACAAGTTGACCGTCTTCCGAAAGTTAGTTCATCTGTTGAAGTGAAAGGATTATAAAATCCGTTAGTATTACAAGAAACAGAACTAGATGATGTCAAATGTGATTTCTTAATTTAACATATAGATTTATCATCAACAGAGCAGAGCAAAATAATGGCCTAAAAAGCAGAATCTAAAGGACATTTTTAAATGCCTTCATTATTTGGTACCTTTGAGCGAGCATCTGAGTGATTTGGCTTTGTTACGAAAAAAACGTCGATGGGAAATTAATTTCCAAGTCATGTGCATGAATATTGATGAAAAACGTAAATTCAGTTCAATCCAGATGATTATTACTGCTGTAATTGGAGCCATTAGGAGCTGAAGCTCTTCTCTGTCACTTTCGGTAGCTGCCAATAAGTAAATAACTGAACATGAAGGGTGAATGCGTGAGTAATGCCTGAAATGTACTTTTGTGATGGCCAAGCAGAGCTCTCCCCCAGCGCCCACCCGAAATCGCTGACGCTTGGGGTGTAGCTGGGAAGTGGCCGTGGGCTGGCAGCCCGGCTGGCCGCAGTCACCGCCGATTTGGAGCTTCCCAGGTGGGAAGGTGCAGATCCTCCAGCTGCAGGATAACACTAGTTATCTATCTGGGCACCTACGCACGTGCACGCTCTGTGAGGTTTGTTGCCAGAGTATGAAAGGGAGGAAATGGCCGAGTGGTGATGGAGAGATGTGTTTGAGATCATCACGGCGTGCGGATAACCCGGTACAGGCTGTCAGTCAGCAGCTCGCTCGGGTGTCCGTCAGGGCAGATGTAAGGGGACGTCAGGTGTTCCTGGGTGCGCGGTGAAATGGCGCCGAAGCGTTTTCCTCACGGAGATGCCTCTGTTAGAGCCTGAGGAAGTCGCGAGTGTACGTGCTTGGAGATGCTCAAGAGAAGCTGCAGACTGAAGGCACATCTTAAGCTGCTCCTTTTTTGACCTCTGTTAGAGGCAGAGGAACTAGTATTTTTTTTATTAACCGAGAGAGATTCTGCTGCAGGGACTGCTTTTTATGTGCAATCTTTGTTTTCTTGCCACTCGTCACTTTCTGGGGTTATATCAAATAACGTGTCTAACACTGTACAACAAAGTGCTTTGAAGAGAGTTCATGAAATATAAATTATGGTGAGTTTGCATGACACGACAAGGAAATACATTTTGTTTTGCTCATGTTTATGCCTAGATATGGCTGGAGCATCCCAGAAAATATATATTATTTTGGCACTTAATTTTAAAAGAGCTGCTGTAACACATGAGTGCTTCTTGCCCTTCCAAGAGATGAGCAGGAGGGTGAGGGGGATGTATTTGTGCTCTCTGTGCAGAGTGTTTTCGCTCAAGTGCAGAGGGACTGGAGGATCCCCTGCAAGCCCTGCTCAGCTCCCGTTTTCGTGCTTCTTAACTATTTTTGCAAATTAGACCCAGAACGATTAGTTTTTGCTCTGGAGCAGCTGGGAATTGCCTCCTGTGTCTCAAAGTAGGGGCATAAAACTTATTGTTAACTACCAGTTCAGAGCCTGCTTTCTGCCTGCATCCCTGCCACGTTTGGCTCCCTGGCACGTGTGGGCAAGCAGGAGCGCTTGTGGAATTGTACCTGGCAGCAGCTTTTCTCCCTTATGGCAGGCTTTTTACCCTCTTAGTTGTTTTTTGCTTTAAAAAACATACCAATGGCATGCCTCGTCTCTTTGTTTTAAAGGACTCTCTGTGAGGGATGGAGGTACTATTCCAGCTCTGTCCTCCTGCAAGTGACAATTGATCTAACCTGCTTTTTAAAAATATCCACATAGTTTTCTCTTTTGTATTATGAATCAGGTAGAATTATTAGGTGCATCAAAAGTGTATGTTCCAAACCTGCACTGTCAGCTGAGGCACAGAGGGATTAATGGCTTATTATTATAATAGTTTATTAGCGAACCATGATTATACCCACATTTGCTTTAGGACTTTGCAGGTTGGGGCTCTTTTCCCCTCCAAGTACTGTTTCTGCATCGGCTGCCTGGCTGGTTGTGTACCAAGGACAAAAGAATCTGCACTTCTGCTCCTCTCAATTGATGCAGGGTAGTCTGGCTTTTGGTATGTTATTTAATCTGAGGCAGTCTGTAACTTCTGGGTTTGGGGTTTTTTTTTGAGAAGAGATGACGTGTCAGGGCAGTACAGAGCTGCAGAAGCTGAGCCAGGTCTTGCAGTGGTTGGGAGGACTGATGCTGGGCAGTGACTTCCTCTGGTTTCCCAAATCCTGTGGTAGAGCAGGCTGAAAGGAGATGGGTTACACGGATCTTTTGCCGTGTATCGGGCAGGCAGCAGAGGAGATGGGTTACATGGACCTTTTGCTGTGTATCGGGCAGGCAGCAGAGGCCCAGGCGTGAGCTGGAATGAGGAGATGTTTGGTGTGACAGAGGACCAGATGGGATTTTTTTTTTTTTTTTTTAAAGACAGAAATTAAATGCTTGGACTTATGATGAGATAAATTTAAAGAATCAACATGATTTCTTCTAAATTTGCTTTTAAGATCTTATTCATCCAAAAGAATTGATTTCCACAGCAATATGAAAAGCTGGGAATAGTTCCTGCAACAGTTTGATTATACAAAATTAATCTCAATTGAATAAAACTTTCAGCCTGAGTCTACACCTGGGCTGGCTTGACCCCTGTTAAATCTTCTTGCAAGAGCAGACTCCAGGTGTTCTGCCTCCTTACAGCAACAAATGGCTAAATTAGCTTTCAGGAAACGTTTAATGGGTGTGCAACATGAAATATCAGTGTTGCAGTGTGTAGCTTTATTAGCTGAGCTGCTGGAATTGTTTTCTGAGCTGTGCTGATCCTTAGCACTGATTGCAAGGTGGAACAGAAATTATTTATTAGTCCTTGGGAGCCTTAAGACAGAATAATACGCATTCGGCTGGAAACACGGTCAATCTTGTTGGTAGAGATGCTGCTGCATTTAAGAAAGAGGCAAATAAACTGATTGTGTAATTGGTAGCAAACATTTTTAGAAAATTTCCATCGGGGGCAGGTGTGCATTACCCTGAAGGGTGGAGATGCTGTTATGGCAGATCTCCAGTGTTTTCCAAATTAAATATGAGCTAGGACAAGGCTTTGTATTTCAAGAAGAAAATCCCCTAGCAGCAGTGGTTCTTCCTTCCAAGTGTTCCCAGTCCAGCAGAGCTATGTCACATTCCAGTGGGACCATGTCTCTTCATCTTGGGAATCCCCCAAAATGGCCGTTGCAAAAATACTGTAAATAAAGCCTGGTTTAGATATGGTTTGCTCTAAGTGATAAAGTTTTGTGTGAAAAAAATCAAAATGGAAATGTTTGTACTTTAAATTAAGTCTTTAAGTGAGGTGGTAGTTTTTATTTTAAAACCTGAACAAATCAGCAAGTTTTGATTTTCTGCCACACAGTATAATGAATATATGTGAAATATTTCAAGTTTTTAAACTTAGCAAGGACTTTGAAATTTTACTTTTACCAGTTCATAGAAAGAAATAAAAAAAAAATACATCCCTTACTGTATGTCGTTTGGTAACTAGACCAAATATGTATTTGAAGAAGCAGCTCTATGTAGTGCATGTTCTGCTTTGGTCTATGCTCGTTAGCAGCTGGAAACACAAAACCCCAAAGCGACCTGTTAAAACTTTCATCCTGTGAATCACCATGGAATCAGCCACTTCGGTCCCTCCCCGGTGGAGAGTTATGGTTCAGGAGGAACGGGTTTCCGCTGCCATTTTTAAGGCAGAGAGGGTCTCCTTGGGAGAAAACTTTGAGCAGTTTGTGGGCTTTTGGTTTCCTCCTGAAGCCCTTCGCCAAGAGGCTGCTTGAAGCTCGATTCACCCTGGCACAAGAGCAGTTTGCTCTGCAGCAGAGAGACCATAGCAGAGAACAGCGATGAGAATTATTCCCATTTCTATTAAAAAAAAAAAAAAGGTGAGTGTGTAGTAAGTAAACAGTCAGTAATAGTAGTACTCAAAAACCTAATTACTTTTGATATTTAAGAAAAGGACCTGCATCATTCAAAAGAGCATATTCTAGCCAATTTTACTGATTATGCCTCCAGTCGTGGAGAGTTTTGTTTGTATTGATCTAATCCAGGAGTCGGAATGGCTCCAGAAATGCTATTCTGGTGTGGCTTATGTTTTGCATAACATAATGTCTGTTTCAAAAATTTTGATATATTTAGATGAATTTACTTGCAGAGAAGAAAAACCCACAAGCTGTTGGTAAAGAGGAAAAGTAAGCACATACAAAGAGAAAAAGAAAAAAAAGCCCAGCCCCACACTTGACCAAGTAGCATTGCTGAGAGCTGCGTGAAAATCTGCTGTTCTAAAATGCTGCTGCTGGGTTTCTTTCCCATGTTCTTTTTTGTCACTGCTTGACGAGTGACAAATCTGAGCTGCGCGGTGGTTCTGCAGTAGCTTTGAAGTGGACTTCAAAATGTAGAGAGAGTAGTATAACATTAAAGGGCATCTCCTGAAAACCAGCTGCCTTAACATGATGTTTCCTAACTCAGCCAACACGTCTCCACTGTGCCTTGTATTGTGATTTGTGGAAAGACAACGTGGGTTTTTGCTAATTGTCTTTCTCCTTCTTAATTGTAGAGAGCTGGGGTCTTAAGGGAGGTCATGGGGTGACCAGTGCTGGGTATAAGCCTTCTGGTCAGGTTCCTCTTGGCTTGTCCAACAGGACCATTCTGAGCATCAGCTGAATGGGGACAATGTTGGGTTACCCAGGTCAGCTTGAATGCCTGGATCTCTCCAGTCTCGCGTCCTTTAGTCCTTGACGAGCGCATCTTTGTTCAGCGCCTGACTCTGTCACTGGCAGACTTAGGAGGGACTTTGCTGAGACCCAGGTTTGGCCATTTCGGTGCTGGGGTCAACTAGGTTTGCATTTTTCCTGCATTTCTGTGTTTTCAGCCTTTCTGTGTTTGCTGGTAAATACCAGCACTTCATCCCATCTGAGGAGATGTGTTTAAGTTGCTGAGATGATCATGGGCCATATTTGTACCTTCCTGTCTCTGCTGCTGACATTCACGTAACTTGTGCTGAGTTTTTTTTGCTGTTGGTGGTTTTTTTTTCCCAAGACCCAACCCTGTGAGTAATTCAGGGTTTTTGTCACAATTACCTGTATCCCTCTATACAAATTTTATTTCCTTCTGTGCTGTCGTATCTGTCTTCCACACTCATCCTGATCGTTTGTCCTGTGGTTTCTTGCAGTGTGTGCAGGCACCGAGAACAAGCTGAGCTCCCTCTCTGACCTGGAGCAGCAGTATCGGGCCCTGCGCAAGTACTACGAGAACTGCGAAGTAGTTATGGGCAACCTGGAAATCACCAGCATCGAGCACAACCGAGACCTCTCCTTCCTGCGGGTAAGGAATCTTCTTTTTTCCTTTCCTCTGTCTTCATGTTTTAGGGGAATAACTATGGGTGCTGGGCTGGGGAAGATCAAGGCTCACACCAGCTTCACTGCAACATAAGAGGATGATAAAATGTCACAGACGTGCAGAGAGCAAGAGCAATGTCATTGCTGTGACACGTGCTCTGAGTGTGCGGCGTTTAGGTTTCGCCAGGACTCGAGGGAGAAAGCCACATCGCTGCTCAGAAAGGTGACACCTTCCTGTCTCTGTCACTGTGTGTTGCCAGCAGGTACGGAGCAGGAAGGGTAGGGTTTAGGAAGGTCAGAGAATCATTCAGATAAGCACTGGAGACTTGGAGAAGCTAATTCTAGTAAAATGCTATACATGGACTCACTGATGGATTAAACAAGGGAAGAACTGTGGCCAACGTTTGTGGACTGTTTCAAGAAAAGGAAAAAGAAAATATGATTGCTGAATGGATATAAAGTGTTTTTTGAGTATGAGGCTGGAGTTACGAGCCTAATTGAATCTCCAGCACCTAGGGGATGTCTTTGACAGATCAAGTCTGTCCTGCCACCATGGAGTCTGGGTTGTGCGCTCCCTCAGCCCTCCTTACATCAAATTCTGAGTAAATACCCTGCTTTTGGGTTAGTGAAGGAATATTTCAGCATGGTTTGTACATTCCCTGTTAACGTGCTAGCAACCACGAGGAGGGAAAGGTAAATTTAAGCATACTATTATTGGACGTTCCCAAACTAATTATGTTTGAAGAGTTATCCCAGTAGAGGAGTGATCCAGTGCACTCAGGTGGGCATCTGAGGATGCTGCAACATGGAAAAACGTGGTATGTAGGCGTAAGGACCATGGTAGAAAAGGCAGCCTGTGGCAGTGCAGTTGCAAGCTGTGTTGGTTGCACCCTCCAATAGAAAGTCAATTCATGACACAGATAAGGGTTTACACTTGTCCTATAGTATGGCATTGCTCATGTAGACTTCTGCAAAATGCTAATGTCATGTTTCAGGGTGTGTATCTGTGTGTAACTGGCATTTTCACAAAAAGCACGTAGCGGGAGAGGCGAAGTTTAAATCCGGCAGCAGGAAGAGGGCAGCAGGAGTTAACCCCGGCAGGTTGTGTTACACTCAGTCATTGGATTTGCTGGTCTCGGGTGAACCTACTGCTCAATTTCAGTTTGTAAAAATGTGAACTTTCCATTACGAGTTCTAACAAAGGCAAAACAGATTCTCCAACAGCTTTGCTTCGTGTTAAATTTGTTGGGGATTTCACAGGATTTCCACTCTATATGTTGGCCTATATTTACTCCAAGTGTACACCAGGCTGCTAAAAGATCTCCAAGCAAAATCTATCTGCCAGATACGTCTGGAGTAAAGTTTGGGGTGCTAATTGCACTCAGACTCACAGGTTGCCTGTTAATTCGAGCGATGAATGCCTGGGAAATAAATGCTGTCTATACATTTCACAGTTGTGACAGGTGGGAAAAACACATATGTTCATGCTCCGAAATAGATACAGCCTTGGTGCAGCTGGGCTGACGTTTCCCACCACGTTAGACAAGCAGCAGATAGAAACCTCCGGTGAGGGCAGGATCCTTGCAGTGATTCAGGCGTCACTGAGGTTTCAGATGCCTCCCGGAACCCCCAACTTGGGCCGTTGCGCCTGGCTCGAGTTCACCACGGATGGTTCTCCCACGTTGGCTTTCCTTCCTTCTTATGCTGCTGGCGGGTAGGTAGGGCAGGCGAATTATTTGGAAATCAGGGAATTAACGTTCCGTGCAGAGAGCTGCCATAAGCAAAGAAAAATGTTGGTAGGCAGTAAAATCAGCAAATGAGAGCAAGAAAGAAGGGCCATGTGTAGTAAATGAAGGTGGTTTGGTCACTTGCGGATTTCTGGTGACAGCTACTATTGCTTTTTTATTAGTTTTATTACTTGTCTTACCTACATCTGCCCTCTCGCAGATGTCTCAGCAAAAAACAGAACTTGAAACAAAACCCAGAAAACTAGAAGTCTAGTTAATATGATAAATTGTAGTCATTAAGATAGAAAACCAAACAGAGGAGAACATATTCTTGGGGAGGCAAATAAATAAATAAATAAATGTTGGCATATTTATGCCGATAGTTCGACATTCATTAGTTAGGCAGTATTACTTGTTTTGTCATTTTAAAAATGGTTTTAATCGCCAAAAGAAGGTGGCAGATGGGAGATAACTAAAAGAAAGGCTGTTTGTCTCCCTCAGACTTAAATATGGTGAACTCGATGCGCAAGATGATGCTTCTCCAGCCTGCTCCAATTTTCCTTAGTCTCTCTTGCAATAATGGTCGTCTTTCTTGACCAAACTGACTTCAGGCAGGCTGTTGACACGCCCCTGGGTTATCTGTACGTCTGTCTGAGGGGTACCGTGGCTTTGTGTGCCTGCCTGCCTTCCCCTTAGTGCTCGACCTCTCTGGGCAGCCTCTCACACCAGAACAGAGGGAAGACCTAGCGAGCCAGGCATGCTGAGCCTTTTTATCGTGCAATAATAAACAAATACCATAAATGAATTGAAATGAAAAAAAATAAATAAAAAGCCACCATAATTTTATTTACCCTGCAGAGAAGCATTAAAAGATCAGCATCCCATCTCTCATATTTATTTAGACATTTATTCCCTAAATAGATTTGCTTTATGTCGATGAGTTAGCTCACTGGATATGTGCTGATTAAGGCTGAAAAGGACTCCATATAACCTGAATGAAGTGTTCAACCACTTCAGCTTCCAGGCCTGCAAGCCAAGTGCATGGCTTTGAGGTCATGAGGAGCTTCATTATGTAAGAAGGGATTGCACATACCAGGGTATTTTTACCTATTATTCTTGTACGTGTGCAGAAGAGGAGTATAGATCTTCTGCTTTCGTTTTACGTATTTTATTTTTGCTTCTGGTTGTGTTAATGGTCTCGGTATTGCATATTGCGATATGAAGGTGTGCTCTGCTCATGCTGCCCTCTGTCCCCACCAGCTCTGTTCCCTCTGCTCGGTGCTTCCCTGCACCGTGGCCACAGCGGGAGTCTTGGCAGAGGAAAGAAGCTCTAAGTAGGAGGCAAAACCACCTCGAAGCCGGAGTGCTGGGATAAACCTGATGTTTCTGACTGCGGGCTGGTAGCCGGTTTTCTTTGTTATTCTTCTGAGGCTCAGCCTACCCCTAGAAGATGTACGCTGGGGTAATTCAGCTTTGGAGTCCCACCACCGCAAGCTTTGGCGGTGGAACGAGGCTTAGGTTAACGCATGGCATCGCTGCTGGAACCGCCACCTCCCTGTTGTGGCCGAGGCGGGCTCTCTACTGGCATAGGCGCTGCGGTAGGTAAAGGCACTTACTGTTTCCAAGATCATGATTGAACCGGGCAGGACAAATAATTGGGTGGAAAACAGGCCCTGAGAGCTCCCTGGTCCCTGTCATGTATTCAGCTGTGACAGCGGGAAGAGGTCGAGCTCCATCTCCCCCTGCTTCGCACCCCAGTGGCATCCTTCAGCTGGTGTCACAGGACAGGCTTTTTGCACTGGGACTTGCTCCGTGAAGCTGGATAAGCTAGTTTGGCTGGTGTGTGTCTCGAGTCTCGTCAAGGCTAGAGCTGAGATTTATTTCCCTGCTTTGGATTTAAAAAAAAAAAAAAAAAAAGTCCCAAGAAAAGCTCAAATGGTGCAGTGGTTCATACTGCAAAGGACTGTTTGGTTTCAGAAGCAGGAACCTATTTTAGTTTCACATGGTAAAGCTGACAGTTTCCATTGTGGACAGTTCTTATTTCTTAACAGCATCTCCGTTTTCAATTTTCGAAATAAAATATGCAATTAGTATACCACAAAACAATCTTCTGCAAGCACTCTTATTCTGTTAAACACATTTGGTAAACGAGAGTTATCTTTGACTAATTCCCAGGCTTTTAGCAATTCACAGTCAGTAAATTGTCTCCTCAAGCCTGGATTTTATTTAACCAATTCAGATTATTTATTTTTGAAGACATGACCAAAGTTCTGTGCTGTTCCCTGCAATAACTCTCCCAAATGATTATGAAACTTATTTCTAACTGTAATCAGCAGCCTTCAGAAATGATCTACCACTGCTTTATAGATTTTTGGGTTTTTTTATTTACCTCCGTGGTGCTTCTGTATCATCACAGCTATGTGGGCAGCTCTCTGCGTGCCATTTAACAGGGTGGGCGGTTTGCGGTGGGCGGCTTTACAGCCGCCGCACTTACTGCGAAGATGTATAGCCCCATCTTCCCTTTGTTAGCAGACATAACTGCCTGCTCGGTGAAAAACCTGCTCCAGCCCGTGCTTATCGCTTCCCTTATGGTCACGCTTGTACTTTGTGGCAGGTGGAATTTGGGGGTTATAGCCTTGGAGGAAGATTGGGTCAGACAGACCCCTCCGAGCGGGGAGGACTGCCAAAACAGCCACAGGAATAGCTGGTTGCGAACTGTGCTGCCTGGCCCCATGGCATTCGGTGCTGCTTCTGGTTAAAAAAAAAACAAAAATAACCTCAAAAACCAAAACTCAAACCAACACAAAATCTAATTTTTTTCAAACCTTTTTGTTCTTTCATAGCAAAATGGATCCAAGGAGACCCTTCTGAAAACCCCGACGGCAGAGCTGAGCTGAGCTGTGGGTGCAGAAGGGAACCTGCAGCCCCAACAGATGGGTCGGGAAGGGGGGTGCGGAGATAGGAGGGTGTTGCCTTGCCCAGGTTGCTCGGCAGATCGCATGTGGCTCCTGAAGGCCTGGCAGCATGGTCCTGTGGCCTCTTTTGCTGCAAAGTGGTACCTTACTTCCCAGCTGACAGGCTTCAGTAAGGTCTCAGCCTAGCAGAAAGGGAGCGGGATGTGGAGGTGGCCCCTGTCAAGAGTGCCCCAAAAGAGACGGTATAGAGAGGCAATGTCTATGTGGAGGGGGAATTTCTCCAGAAGTGCTGGGAAAACATTGCAGTCTGTCCCTGCACCGGCACAGGGATTTTGAGGGGGTTT